TATTAAGAAATCTAGGAATATTTCTGACATTGCGTTTTAAGCTGTTAACATCCATACCTGCTTAAAATGAACACTTGGAACTCTTTAATATGTTTTTGTCCCTAACACAGCATGAAAAAATAAAGCAATGAGATTTGGAGTAGACTATATTTTAAATTTAATTACAGTCATAGCCCCTGGATATTTGACTAGACTTAAGTTTTGTTTGTGTTGGCTGCTATTACATGAAAATAATGCATGCTTTACTTTGCTAAAATAGTTATTATATGTATATATGTTTATCAGGAAGTTAAATGAAGTTCGAAAGAGATTGAATGAACTAAGAGAATTAGTTCATTATTATGAACAAACATCAGATATGATGACAGATGCTGTAAATGAAAACACAAAAGATGAAGAAACTGAAGAGTCAGAATATGATTCTGAGAATGAAAATTCTGAGCCTGTTACTAACATTCGGTAAGAACTTTTATTTGACTTTTCTCCTGTAAGTCTGCTGTTTTGGTCAGTGTAATCTTAATTGATTTGTGTACAAAATAGGGAAGAGTTGAGTATAGTAGTTTAGTAAGTTTGCTATTTGTTAGATCAAATGCAAGTAAATTATAAGAAGTATCTAAATTAGCATTTTTCTACCTCTTTAATTTTAGGTATAATTTTGACTTTTCAAATGTTTTAAGTTTCTAATTTGCAGAAGTTAATGAAAAGCATGTGCCAGTTATTCATAGTATGAATTTAAATGTGGAAAAGCCAATGATGTTCATAGTTTAGAAGTACTTTATCAGCAATTCTACACCTTGGTGGTTGTTGTTATTATTATTATTATTATTATTATTATTTTTACTTTAAATAACAAAGTTGTTTTCTTTTTTTTAGAAATCCCCAAGTAGCTGCCACCTGGAATGAAGTAAACAGTAATTCCAATGCACAGTGTGTTTCTAATAATAGAGATGGCAGATCAGTTCATTCTAATTGTGAAATTAACAACAGATCTGCAGCCAACATAAGGGCTTTAAACATGCCTCCTTTAGGTAAGAATGACTATTCACAGAGATGTTTGCCATATTGTTCTTGGGAAGTAGATTTTCTTTCTTTAGCACTCTTTAAGTTTATGAAATTATGGATTTCAATGATACCTGTTTTTAGCAGATTGTCGATATAATAGAGAAGGAGAACAGGGGATTCATGTTGCACAAGGTGAAGATGATGAAGAGGAGGAGGAAGCAGAAGATGAGGGTGCTAGTGGAGCTTCATTGTCTAGTCACAGGAGCAGTGTGGCTGATGAGGCTCCCGAGGATGCTGAATTTGAACAGAAGATCAATAGACTTATGGCTGCAAAACAGAAACTTAGGCAATTACAAGATCTTGTTGCTATGGTACAGGCAAGTACTGCTTGGTTTTTAAAAAACTGTCAAATAGTACAGTCTGACAAGGTAAAATTTATGTATTTTGACAATTACATGACATAATTATAGTAGTACATATTTACGTATTAAGTTCTTGCTATATGCCCACTTTACATGCTTAGCACTTAAATTTATTTTTCAACTACAGTTGACATACAATGTTATATTAGTTGAAAGTGTACAGAATAGTGATTGGACATAGTTTATGAAGTAATCAGCTTGATAAGTGTAGTACCCATCTAATATTATACATGATTATTACAATATTACTGACTGTATTTCCTAGCTGTACTTTATATTGTTGTGACTATTTTTGTAACTGCCAATCTCCCCTTTTTAATCCTTTTCACCCATGACCCCAACCTCCCCTCCTATCAGTTTGTTTTTTGTTTCTGTGAGTTCATTTCTGTTTTATTTGTTCTTTGTTTTTTTAAATTCTACATATAAGTATTACTTACAGTTTGCTTTTTTTCCCCACTTCACAATGTCTTGGAGAACTTTTTATATTAGCATATATATTCCTATATAATTATAAATAATTGTGAAATATTGTATAGAAAACTAATTATAAAATGTAAATCATACTGCATATGTATGTGTGTGTTTGTGGTATGTATTAAATACAATTCTTATTAGCTGCAACAGAGTTTTCTGTAGTATTAACAGACCTTAATTTAGTTAATCTGACTCCTACTGATTTATACTTCTGTTGTTTCCAGTTTTTTACTACTTGGAATATTCCAGTGATATTGTTGCCCAACTCTCTTTGTGCATTCCAAGAATATATATGTATGGGGTTTTTTTTAGCAATTTTTTAAAAATATATTTTATTGATTTTGTACAGATAGGAAGGGAGAGAGATAGAGAGTTAGAAACATCGATGAGAGAGAGTCATCAATCAGCTGCCTCTTGCACACCCCCCACTGGGGATATGCTCGCAACCAAGGTACCTGCCCCTCACCGGAACCGAACCCGGGACCCTTCAGTCCCCAAGCCGACACTCTATCCATTGAGCCAAACCGGTTTCGGCAGAATATATATTTTTTATTGATTGATTTGTGTGTGTGTGAGAGAGAGTGATTGAGATTGATAAGTTGCCTCCCATATGTGCCTGACTGGGAATCAAACCCCTTCAACCTTTTCAGTGTTCAGGACGACATTCCAACTAACTGAGCCACTGGCTGCATTTGTGTTTTTCAAGAGCATATAAGAAGTGGAATTGCTATGTTAGATTTTTAAAAAATATATTTTATTGATTTTTTTTACAAAGAAGGGAAGAGGGATAGTTACCAACATCAATGAGAGACAAATATTGATCAACCACCCGCTACTGGGGATGTGCCTGCAACTAAGGTACATGCCCCCGACCGGAATTGAACCTGAGACCCTTGAGTCCCCAGGTAGACGCTCTATCCACTGAGCCAAACCGGTTAGGGCTGCTATGTTAGATTTTATGCACTTATCAATTTTAATGGACACCACTTAACTGCTCTCTAAAGTGAGTCTATTAATTGATATCTAAACAGTGGTGTATGAGTCCTTTTTCTCATAATTGATTACATTTTTTATATTGCTACACTATAGCTTGTTTAACCATTACTAGAATTGGTGTTTGGCTTTTTCCAAGTTTTCCCTAATATAAGAAAGGCTATTTTATAAACACATACATACAAACACATATAAGTGTGTATATACACGTAAATATATTTGCTTATACAAATTATACGTGTGGGGTACATAAATTGATATTAGTTACCTATGGAGAAAGTAGTCAGTTGGGGACAGAGATGGAAAGAAGACTTTTCTAAATGTCTTTTTTACTTTTGAACTTTGATTATATGACAATATTACCATTAGAAAAAAGTAAAACAGCTTCTAAAGCAAATAATAATATTGAGTAAATATAAACTATATAGAGTTAAAAAATTTTTAATATACTTTTATTGATTTCAATGAGGAAGGGAGAGATAGAGAGATAAAAAATCATCAGTGTGCCTTGACCTGGAATCGAACCATGACTTCCTACTTCATAGGTTGATGCTAATCACTGACCCACACTCACCAGGCTAAGATTAATTTTTTTTTCCCCCCCCTTCCTCCCTCCCAAACATACCCTCCCTCCCCAGAGTTTTATGTCCATTGGTTGTACTTATATGCATGTATACAAGTCCTTCGGTTGATCTATTATCTCCCCCATATCTCCCTCCCCTCCCCACTGTAATTTGACAGTCTGCTTGTTGCTTTACTGTCTCTATATCTATCTTTTGGTTCATCAGTTTATAATGTTCTTTATTATCCATAAATGAGTGAGGTCATATGGTGTTTCTCTTTCATTAATTGGCTTATTTCACTCAGCATGATGTTCTCCAATTTCATCCAGGTTGCTGCAAATGATGAGAATTCCTTATTTTTTATGGCAGCATAGTATTCCATTGTGTAGATGTGCCATAGTTTTTGGATCCAATCATCTGCTGACGGGCACCTAGGCTGTTTTCAAATTCTGGCTATTGTAGATTGTGCTGCTATGAACATAGGGGTGCATATATCCTTTCTAGTTTCTTGGGATATATTCCTAGGAGTGGGATTACTGGGTCAAATGGGAGTTCCATTTTCAGTTTTTTGAGGAAACTCCACACTGTTCTCCACAGTGGTTGCACTAGTCTGCATTCCCACCAGCAGTGCACGAGGGTTCCTTTTTCTCCGCAACCTCGCCAACACTTGTCGTTTGTTGATGTTGGACATTCTGACAGGTGTGAGATGGTACCACATTGTTGTTTTGATTTGCATCTCTCGGATAATTAGTTACTTTGAGCATGTTTTCATGTGCCTTTTGGCCTTCCTTCTGTCTTCTTTTGAAAATATTCTATTTAGGTTCATTGCCCATTTCTTAATCATCCTTTTATTTAGTTGTATAAGCTGTCTATAGATGTTGGAGATTAAACCTTTATCAGTAGTAACATTTGCAAATATTTTCTCCCACACCGTGGGCTTTCTTGTTTTTGTTTGTTTGTTTGTTTGTTTGTTTTTTAATATATTTTATTGATTTTGTACAGAGAGGAAGGGAGAGAGATATAGAGCTAGAAACATCGATGAGAGAGAGTCATCGATCAGCTGCCCCTTGCACACCCCCTACTGGGGATATGCCCGCAACCAAGGTACATGCCCTTGATCGGAATCGAACCCCGGGTCCCTTCAGTCCCCAAGCCGACGCTGTATCCATTGAGCCAAACCGGCCTCAGCGCTTTCTTGTTGTTTTGTTGATGGTTTCTTTTGCTGTAAAAAGGCTTTTTATAATATTTTGATGTAGTCCCATTTGTTTATTTTCTCTTTAGCTTCCATTGCCCTGGGGGCAGTATCAGTGAAGAAGTTCTTTTGGCATATGTCTGAGATTTTGCTGCCTGTGGATGCTTCTAGTATTTTTATCGTTTCCTGTCTGATGTTTAAGTCCTGTAGGATTAAATATTTTTAAGAAAATATAGTAGTTCACCCCAAACCTTTTTTTTTTAAAAAAAATTCTTCATTGTTTAAAGTATTACATATGTCTCCTTTTTTCCCCATTGACCTCTCCCTGGCCACCCCCCTACCCCCTTTTTTTTTGAGGGCCTTCCGGTAAAAAAATGGAAGACCTGCTAGACAAATTCAAAAAGAGCTGTGAGCACTACACCCTAAATTTTTTAATAAGTACATGGATTTCAATAAAATATAGATCTCTTAGGAAGATAGTAACTTCATTTGTATTGCCATGGGTGATTAATAATTTGAAATGGTATATTCTCATTAGTTTTTGTATTGCAAGCCATTGGCACTTGTTTGGCAGACAAAAGCCAGTGAGGAAAGGAAAAAAATTTATGTAAGCAAGTGACAGTGGACATTGATTATTTGATATTGTTACTGTAAAAGTTAAATTTTAAGAAAAATTAATATTCAAGAGTTTGCAGTTTCAGTAGTACATTTTTTATCTTCATATTCTTTGATAGTTCAGTATTTGGTCAAAATAACAAAAGGCAACTTAATACTATCATTACTGGATAATAGGCAGCTCAGATATTTAATATACTATTTTTAGTTTCAATACTTCATTTCTTACTATTGGTAGAGAATGAACTTCAGTGTTCTGTACTATTTTCTCTGCTTCTCTAGTTTTTCTTATATAACTTTGACAGACTAGTGGTATTTACTAAGGTATGAATTAGATTTATCAAGATTATTTAATATAATGATGTGTTTTTAGGATGATGATGCAGCAGATCAAGGAGCTGTTTCTGCCAGTACTTCACATTTGGATGATTTCTACCCAGCAGAAGAAGGCACCAAGCAAAATGCAAATAACAATAGAGGAAATGCCAATAAAACCCCAAAAGATGCTGGAGTAAATGAAAAGGCAAGGTATGTTAAGCTTATAGCCTTCATTTAATGAAAATGTAGTGTTTGTTATAGAGAAAGTACTGGCTGGGTGTAGTGTATTACATCATGCTTAATGTTATCAGATTTACTGGAGTCCAAAATATAATGTCATTTTAATTATAGAGAGAAATTTTATGAGGCTAAACTACAGCAGCAACAGAGAGAGCTCAAACAGTTGCAGGAAGAAAGAAAGAAACTGATTAAGATTCAAGAGAAAATTCAAGCATTGCAAAAGGCATGTCCTGACCTGCAGGTAATTAGGAAATTTCTCTCTTTCTGTCTGAAAAAGATGTCTAAAACCCAGTATCAATTGAAAGTACTCTTTCTAGTATTGATAAGATAGATTTATTTCTGTTAATTTTATGATTAATGAAATGGTTGAACTGATGAACTGTTTTAGGGATACACATCTGCACTGTGAAAGATACCACTTGTTGGGTTAGCTAGCTAGAGACTCAGAATATGAATATAACTGTTAAAATATGCCGGGACCGGTTTGGCTCAGTGGATAGAGCGCCGGCCTGCGGACTGAAGGGTCCCGGGTTCGATTCCGGTCAAGGGCATGTACCTTGGTTGCGGGCACATCCCCAGTAGGGGGTGTGCAAGAGGCAGCTGATCGATGTTTCTCTCTCATCAACGTTTCTAACTCTGTCCCTCTCAATTCCTCCCTGTGTAAAATCAATAAAATATATATTTTTTTTAAAAATACTCTGGTTTAACATTTCTAGGTTCCAATGAACTTCAAAGAGATCACTTTTTACAACATTGTCAGGCCTTAGCTAGTGAAAAAAACATAAATCAAGATGAGTAAAATGCCAAAGATTCGGAAAGAAAGAAAATGAACCATATTCACACGTATTATGACTGTGTACCAGAAAATCTAGCAATTAATTAGATTTTTTTAAATGAGTTAAATAAAACCCAAAGAGTAGTTTTTCTACAAATCTTCAATAAAGAATTAAAAAATAAAATATTGTGGTTTCAGCTTTGCATTTCAGGGACTAGCATTTCCATTTTTACTGGTCTAAAATTATAAAGTTCTTAAGCCATTATGTGTTATCTAAGGAAATTAAAATGTTTCATTTTTAGCTTGAATATTAACTATATATACCTTTGCTTATTAATAGTATCCCATGCTTAGGTCTTTGATATTGAACAGAGAATGAACAGTCTTTGACCAAGTCAGATAATAGTGATAGCATTAATATGGGAAGGAAATACCAGTTCTTTTTGAGATTTGTTTTTTCTCTCTAAAATTTATTGGTTAAGTTTATTCTTCAGTCAGGTTTTATTTTCAAAGGAAGGGAAACATATCAAATGATATTTCTAATGTATTTTCTAGACTTACCTTTTCCACTATAATCTCTTTTTCCTTGTCCCCAATCTAAATAATGTCCAGAGGAATACATACCTGAGTTGGGTTGAGTATATGAAATTTTCCACAGTAACATTTTATCAGCTTCTTATCTCTCTTGTTTCTGAAGGTTGGTTACTACTCATCAGCTTTAGTCTGTGCTTTTATCTTTCTTTTATTATGTCAGATTTTCTTTGAATCATGATAGCAGTTGAGGTCTGATAATAACAAATTAAATATGTCACTAGAACCCTAGAGGAGTAGTATAATAGCTGTTTTTATGAAATTAACATAATTGCTTTAATTCTTCATAATGTTTCTAATCCTTTTTTTAGCTGACAACCACTAGTGCTGGTAATTGTCCCACAAAAAAATATATGCCAGCTGTTACTTCAACCCCAACTGTTAATGAAAATGAAACCAATGCAAGCAAATCTGTTTTTGAGCCTGACGATTCTTCAGTAGTAAATAATGAGGTATTGTATAATGTACCCTGTTGTTCTTTAGTCTTAAGTCACATATTGTTTTAAAATTTATTTTCACATACAGTTGAATACAATATTATATTAGTTGCAGGTGCATAACATAGTTTATTAGACATTTATATACCTTATGAAGTAATCACCATGATAAGTCTAGTACCCATCTGACACCATACATAGTTATTACAGCGTTATTGACTATGTATTCCTCATGCTGTATAAGTCACAACTTAAGAAGGAAACATTATCTGTGAAATATGTTTTTAAATGTAGCCTGTATGTCTTTTAGTTTGGGGAGGAAATATATATATTTTTAAGTAATTAAGTTAGGATCTCTTCAAAATAGTCTTGATATTTATTAGCAAATATTTGGTAGAATTATATGTAAAGGACAGTTGCAACAAATAGCAATAATTTCAGTTAGAAAGACCTATCCTTTGGTATTTTCCCTCATTTTTATGTGATTTATAGGAAACATAACTTTTCTAAATAGTTTATATTTGGGTGCTACTTGTTTCCTTTAAGAATTAATAAGTGCCTAATTTTTTCTTATTCATAATTAACATTTTTAACCTTCATGAATATTTCAGTGTAATAAGAATAGAGTGAGAATAGAAGTATTAATTGGTAGTGACAATAGTATTAGCCTATTGTTCTTTAAGGGGAAGAGAAATCCAACTACTTTACTTTTTTCTAATTTTTAAATTAATAGCTATGGTCAGAAATGCGAAGACATGAAATTTTAAGGGAAGAGCTGCGACAGAGAAGAAAGCAGCTTGAAGCTCTGATGGCTGAACATCAGAGGAGGCAAGGTATAGCTGGAACTGTATCTCCAGTGGCTGTTTCATTGAGAAGCGATGGATCTGAAAATCTGTGCACTCCACAACAAAGTAGAACAGACAAGTAAGAGTTGTTTAAATCTACCTGTGGCTTGTAGGATAGGCAGTCTTGTTTCCCTCTGTACAAATTTGCTGTGGTAGTGAAGATAATATTTAAGTATCACCTTGGTGCCTCAGTTTCACTAAATTGAGTTACTTTCTGTTCAAAGTTCTCATAGCATCAACTTATTTTAAATTATTAAGACACTTAAATAATGGTCTAGATTTTCTTGAGTGTATGACCTTTATTTTCTTAGTTAAGTTTTAAGCATATAAAAAGAAAACTTAGCTAAGCTTTAACCTTGATACTTCATAGTGCTACTACATCAGGCCAGAAATACGCACTTTTTTTTTTTTAACTTAAATTGAGTATTTGCTATTTGTAAGGTTTCTAAGGATCTTAAAACATTTTATTATAATAAGACATTTAGTTTTTAGGATTTGAATTTGAAATTTTCATATTAAGAATATTTCTAAAAGACTTGGTCATTTTTAATATTAGTCAGTTACTATCTGGATAGTAGTGTTCAGATCTAAAATTTGGAATTCAAATGTGTTGTGACTTTACATTTTGGTATTTTCAGATGGCATTTCTGGAACATTGCACCCAAGCCTATCTCTTCTTCCTCTTAGAAGAACTTCTCCTATTTGTGGAGTCCCCATACATATTTAGTGATCAAACTACATCTTTAGTATTCTATTCTGTTCTGAATATTATACATTTATACTGCAAGTTCTTTGGATAGCTTTGATAAGCCATCTAGATTTTAGAATATAGGTTCTAGAATTGTACTATCCAACATGACAGTCACAAGATAGAGTTTAGAGGTATCTAAGTTAAAATTAAATAAAAATAAAACATTTTCTCAATTACGTCAGCCATATTTTAAGTGTTCATTGGTTAATGTACCTAGTGGCAACTGTGTTGGACAGCACAGTTATAGATCATCACTACTGTTCAGAGAATGGTATTGGACAAGAATGGTATTGATCTAGAAAACTGTCACTCAAAGGAAAATTGAGGAAGGTGTAGTTTAGGAAAAAATGTTCAGAGAATATGATTACTGTTTTAATTGGAAGAATTGTTTTATGGAAGGCAGAGGAAATGTATTCTATATATAATTTAGAATACTCATATAGTTACTAAGATTAAATGAGATTTTTATATACACACACGCACATTTGCGTGTACATATATGTTTGGTACAGTGTCTGGCACATGGTAGTAAAGTATTTAGCTCATCTCTTGGCTTTTTTGTCTCTTAATCTCTAGGACAATGGCAACTTGGGGAGGTTCTACCCAGTGTGCACTAGATGAAGAAGGAGATGAAGATGGTTACCTTTCTGAAGGAGTTGTTCGGACAGATGAAGAGGAGGAAGAAGAAGAGCAAGATGCCAGTTCCAATGAAAACTTTTCTCTGTATTCTCCTAACAGCATGAATCAGAACTCTTACAGTGTAAAGGAAACTAAAAATAGGTTAGTTTCTGTTTTAATTCTTTGCTTGATTTGAAGAGTTTCAGGTTTTTCTGACACCAAGAGATT